TGTTTGTTCCTGTTTAGGTGATGGTTTAGATGCTATGATAAACCCCAAAATATAATTGTTTGTTCCTGTTTAGGTGATGGTTTAGATGGTATGATAAACCTAAAAATATAATTGTTTGTTCCTGTTTAGGTGATGGTTTAGATGGTATGATAAACCTAAAAATATAATTGTTTGTTCCTGTTTAGGTGATGGTTGAGATGGTATGATAAACCTAAAAAAATATAATTGTTTGTTTGTGTTGGAAAATCCATAAAATAATTTTGTTCCTGTTTAGGTGATGGTTTAGATGGTATGAAAAACTCTCCTGCTAATGGTCCTGGTACACCTAGGGAAGAAGGGCCACCTATGGGAGAATATGGCATTTCAGGGTATGGGCAAGAAAATGTAAGTAACAGCTAATAGGTGAGTACATTTTTGACACTTGAGCAAACTGTATTCCTTGTTTTCTTCTATTCCATAGTCTTTACTTGTGTGAGTACACAATTTAAGGTTGGTTAAGATGGCGTGTTCAATATGAGGACCGAGTTTTCCGTAGGTTTCTTCTTGCCTTTTTTTTCTTGGCTTCAAGGAAATCTCTCAGACCTAACAGTGACGAGAGATTTGGCAGGAGTTTGAAATTTTGCTCTAAGAGAAAAGGCTGGGAAAGTCCATAGAAAACTCGGTCAAAATAAGGTCGAAGTGTTTTAATCTGGTTCGTGTAGATGTTGTATTAGTAACTTCACATTCTCAGAGGAGTGCAACTAGTTCCACCTACTTTGTAGCCTGCTTTTGATTGTGCATTCTTGGCTACAGATACCGGGGGATACGTCGGGAATTGACATGCAGTGCCATCTGCAAGCTTGTAGCAGTCATCAGGTTCATCCTTGTGAAATTTAAGTTCAGGAAAATCTTCAGGTATGTCATCAGAACAGCTGTTACTGTTTCCTTGGTGACTATGTGCTACCTCTGTTTCTTATGTAATAACCTCAAACCGGGAAGTGCATCCCTTTTCTTTTATCCAATTCCTTGTGCTCAATCTTCGTAGGTGTTTTATATTTATGCATTTTGAAGTTGTTGAGTGTGTGTGTATATCTATGTATATTATGAGAATGATATTTAGATCCCACAATTCAATTGGTGTTGTCTGCTATTAACTATCTACTTTCACTTTAGTCTATCATTTCCAAATTAAGGGCAGCTAGTGCAGGAAGCCGTTGTGTAGCTTTAAGTGAATATCTGAAAATCCTTGCTTTTTGTTGTTTATTTTAAAGTATACTTGTAATTTTTTTGCTGAGGGAAAGGGGGCGTTATCTATATTGGCATCTATTAGGCCTGCTTAGCGACAGTTAGGCTTAGCATAAGAGGGGTCTCCTTTAAAGCATTTCAGTTTGTATACGAACGTATGATTAAATT